GGACGGCTAGCGCAGATAGCCCTCGTGTAGCTTTGCGCGAAATTCCAAAACAAACAAACAAACAATAATATCGTCAACGAAAACGGTCTGCAGGAATGTAGCTTGTAAACAACAAAAACAAAAACTTCATAATATTCAACAAAACTTTTCCCGTATAATCTTATTTCTACAAGAATATATTATAAAAGATGTTTGTGGCTTATAAGCGCTATCTTCTTCTTCTACTGCCCAGTTAAAAATAGCCAAGAAGGCTAGAGTAAAGCAGATTATAGAAAATATTGTGGCTCTTTGACCAGAATCCTCTTAAGGCTGGTAGTGCATTTTTTCTATTTTAGTGGAAACGTCCTCCATCATCAGAAGACATTTGGAAATGCTGCATTTTTAGCTGTTTTTCTTGCAATACCTCTATAAAGTTACCACAACCGTGGATCGAAAATTGTTTTGAGTAAGGTTTACCAAATATATTTTTATTTACATCTGTTCAATTTAGATCTTAACAACCGAATATTCAAGATATTCCGAGAGGATTAGAGTTCCATTAATATTATATACATTTACTATTTTATTGGTTCGGTTTAGAGTCGGACATGACCTATAATTGTTAGTATTGGGTGGCGGATGGGAGGGTGCCTTATAAAAGTGATGGCCAATCCTGTAGTACGTTTAAAAAGAGCCAGAAATAGCCTATGTTGCAGCAGATGCTTCTGACTGGCTGCCTTCCTTATGGTCAGTAGCTCAAGATTAGTGACGGCTATACCTGAATACTAGCCGGGAGTCTCTGATTTGGCCGTTTGGGTTAAATTCCAGTTTTAGTTCTAGTTTGATTCCATTTTTGTTGAAAATTAAAATATAGGAAAATCGATAATTATGGTGCAGTCATAATGTTAATTTAAAAGATTAATTTTTCCCATCATTACCGCAGTATAAGTCAAATGAGTCAACCAAACTTATTTAAAGGAAAATTAAGCAGTTAACAAATAAAATATTTAACCTAAACAACACGGCAGTTATTGTGTCGCAGAAACTCCTTTCAATGTACAAATTCGAACACAAAGCCGAAGATGCACGGTGGAAGCTAGTGCAATTGAAAATCATGCCCCAAAAATAAGCATTCAACCAAGATAGTCTAGTGTAAACATTAATTGTTCTGACTTATTTAAATTCAAAGATTCGTTATTTAGCATTTTTTAAGAAGTACTTAATATTTGCACTCTTTGCTGATTATTATTATTTATTATTTAAGTTCATTTTCTGTTTATGTATTATATACTTATCCCTATATATGTTACTTTATTTCAGTACAGCAACATGAAACTGTCAAATTCTGTTCTTCGTCTGTTTAAACAATATAAGGCCGAGAATAGCCCGGTGGTTATAATATCGCTCTGCGCTTTGGGGCTGTGGGCGTGTTATAAGGATGATGGCCAAAGCCCACTATTCAGTCAGACAAGAGTAGCATAAGAGTTGGTGGAGTGGATGGACTAGCTGCCTTCCCTTTAGTTTATCAGTTCAAAATTAGATCGTTATAGA